TTTAGGGGCATAAAACCTCTTGTACATGCCTGCTACATTTAATTTTTAATTACTTAATTTTTATAAGTATTTATTATCTCTTCCTCCTACTATTCCCCCCATCACTGAATAATAAAAATAAAAATAAAACTCTTATAACAAATGTACACAGTCCAGCCAAACAAATTCTCACATTACTAGTCTTGTCCAAAAGTATATATCTCATTCTACATTTTAAGTCCATCTCTTCTCTAGAGGTGGATGGTGTGTTTCAGCCTCACTGCTCTAGATTTTTTTCCCCCATGGCACTGATCAGAGCTCTCAAGTCTTTCAAAGTTCTTTTTGTTTATAAAATTATTGTCTTTGTATAGATCATTCTCCTAGTTTTGCTTGTTTCACTCTACATCTGTTCATAGACATATTCTCAGTTTCCCCTGAAAATGTCCATTTTGTTATTTCTCATGGCCCAGTAATATGCCATTGCATTCATAGACCATAATTTGTTCAGTCATTCCCCATCTAATGGGTTTCTCCTTAGTTTCTCATTCTTTGCCACCACAAAAAGAGTTGCTATAAATATTTTTGCATATATGAGTCCTTTCCCTCTTTCTTTGATCTCTTAGATTAGTCGCTTTTGGGGCATTGTTCCAAATTGCTTTCCAGAATGACTGGACCAGTTCAAAGCTCCACAAACAGTGCCTTAGTGTGCCCTTTTTCCCACAGCCCCTCCAACATATGTCATTTTGCTTGCTACATTTTAGATGAGGAAACTGAAAGGCCTAGAGACGAAGTAAGTTGTCCAAGGTCACACAGCTAGATATTGCCCTTCCAGTTCTCCAGTCCTGTGATTCTGAGCCCACTTAGTCTCGAGTGTCCAGGGCTATCTCTGGAAACCTAAACCATCTTATCTGTCATTTGACTGCTGAGTGGATTAGGTAAGGGGAAGGGGAAACTTGGTGGTGGGGGGTGGGACAGAACAAAGTCAAAGAAGAGAGGCTCTTAACAGAGCTGTTGCTTTGGGATTTCTGGCAGTAGAAAACCTCATTCGCTGCCAGCTGAGGCACCTCAGGCATCCACTGTTTGGCGCTTTCTCAGTGCACACAGATCGTTCCTTGATGTTCTTCTAGACTCTAGAGTGTTTAATCCCACCAGACCAGATTTCAGGGATTCCTGGAATTCTACCAAAGAACAGCCTAGGAATAGACACTTCCTTCTTCCCTGCCTACCCCCCATAGATCATAGGGTTCTGCTGGATCATTCCTTTATCCTGGCCTCAGCAGGAGCAGGTGAAAGAAAGAAAGAACAGAGAACATTCATTGCTCTTCTGGCTGGAGCTGCCAGGGCTTCCTCCACTAGCAAGTAGATCATGCTTGAGTGATGTGTTGGAATGTGGCAAAACACCCAGTGTGTCATCATGGCCCCCTCAGCTCTCTGGCATTCAGCTTAGACACTGGTTAGTGGAGACTGGGGGGAGCATCACATGCTCTTCCTACTTAGTGTTAAGCCACAACCAATTCTTAACTAGGAAAAGGAAGGAAATTTGTTAATTTGTTATTATGCATTTATTAAGTACCTACTCTGTGCCAAAGCACTGAACACTTCACAAAACACCATCTCATTTTATCCTCACAACAACCCTGTGAGATAGGTGCTATTATTATCTCAATTTTGCAGTTGAGGAAACTGAGCCATATGGAAATTAAGTGATCTGCCAGGGTCATGTAGCTAGGAATTATCTGAGGCTATATTTGAACTCAAGGGCAGCTAGGGGGCGCAGAAGAGCTAGACTGCTAGACCTAGAGTCAGGAAGACTCATTTTCCTGAGTTCAAATCTGCCCTCAGACAACTCACTAGCTTTGTGATTCTGGCCAAGTCACTTAACCCTGTTTGCCTCATTTTCCTCATGTATAAAATTAGCTGGGGAAGGAAATGGCAAACCACTCCAATATCTTTGCCAAGAAGACCCCAAATGGGGTCATGAAGAAAAGACACAACTGAAATGACTGAATAATAATTTCCTGACTCTCAGTCCATATAATAACACTACCTCGCTGCTAATAGGTGCTATAAACTAGTCTAAGCGTGTTGCTGTAGTTTCATTTTGTATGTTTTCAATCAATGTGGCTAATCAAGATCTTCATCTCCTTTCATTTTCTCTGTCCACACTCTGATAAAGGAATAGTCAAAAAGTGAAATCAATGATAAGCAGGGGAAAGTGGGAAAAGATGACCTAGGATACTTTGCTACCTAGATCTCCAGTTCCTGAATAACTGAGTTGACTGTAGTCCCTTAAATGGCACCATGTCAGCCAAGTGTGACATCTCTTACCCTTACTGCTGATTCCTCTAAGCTCCAGCACAGGAGTAACTAGCAGCTGTGATCATTAAAAACCATAACATTCACCTTTCATTCATTGTTCATTCTGTTTATTCATTCAACATTTATTCAGTACCGATGGATAGAGTGTTGTGTCATTCATTCAGAAAATGCAGAGATTAAAAAGCCAGAGCCTGCCTTGAAGAAGTTCATAATTTAGCAAAAGAGATGAAACATGTACTCAAAGATCTATAACATAGTCTTTTTTTTCCAAACCAGTGATGTCATTGGCTTAGGAAACTCCTAATCAATCAATCAATAAACATTTATTAAGTGCCTACTATTTGCCAGGCACTGTGCTAAGTGCTAGTTCTACTCCCACTCCCAGTGTGGAAATTCCTTTCATCAATAAAGTTGGGCAACACTGCACCTTATCATCTTGCCTAGAGAAATAAAGAGGTTAAGAACTTGCATCTAGTTACAAAACTCATATGTCAAAGGCAAGATTTGAACCCAGGTCTTCCTGGGTTCTATCTACTACCACTCCATCTATGCAGTCTATCAGTTCACACTATACGATCTATTCACTACATCATGCAATCTGTCATTCATACAGCTATTATCTCATTTTCTCCTCACAATAACCCTGTGAGGTAAGTACTACAGGTATTATATCTAATCCATAGATGAAGAACCTTGAGGCTCTGAGAAGTTAAATCACTTGCCCAAGGTCACACAGCTAATATCTGAGGCCAGATTTGAACTCAAGTCTTCCTGATCCACTGCCCCACCTAGCTACCTTGGAAGGCATCAGAGAGATCACCTAATCCAATCCTATCCTTTTACTGATGAGGAAATTTGAGTACTGGGCACATCTTTTAAATCAGTGAACAATCCACTGATTGACATCTAGGCAGTCAGGAGATACTGAATAAATGAAGAGGCAGCCGTGTGCTGAAAAGTACCCTAGATTTGGGGTCAGAGGACCTGAGTTCAACTGCTAACTTTCATGGACTATAGAATTTAGAATTGGAAAGGATCTTAAAAGTCATTTAATCTACCCTCTCTTTTTACAGATAAGGAAACTGAGGCTGAGAAGTTAGGTCAGCCAGTCAAGAAAAGTTTGTCAAGCAACTACAAGTTCCAGGTGCTGTGTCAAGTGTTAGTGATGCAAATAAGAAAGAGACAGTTCCTGCCCTGGAGGAGTTTACAATCTAACAGAAGAAGAAAATCCACAAAAAGAAGCTGAATGGGGTTAAGAGAGAGAGGAAGGGACGGTGTCTTGGAGAAGTACCAGGGAATGCAGCCTGGTGGGAGATAAAGAGTTGGCTGGCCTGGGCACCCTCCTTAAAGGGAGGTTAGGTGACCAGCCTATATTCTCAAAACTAGGGAAGTGTCAGGGACAGGATTTGAACCCAGTTTTTCCTGACTCACTGTCGCCATGATGTTGACCACACTGCCTCTGATTTTTAGGGTCATGCTCTAGAGCCTGAAGGGACCCTAAAGGTCATCTATTCTAATTCCATCATTTTGCAGAACTCAGAGATTGATTGACGCAAGAACTTGGCAGAAATCTCCATCAGGTCCTGCGATCCCATCGCCTTTCAAGAGTTTTGTACTTTCCCACAATGTTACGGTCACTGGATCTTCTACCAATTACTTCCTGTGTAACTTTGGGCAGCTCGCCCTTACCCTCTGGGTCTCAGTTTCCCCATCTGTAACAGGAGGGGTGGAAGAGGTGAAATTCTATCATATTTGCTGATTGAATGAGGAAGGCAGCTGCCTTGTGGTCCAATGCCTGGGAAGGGCGCTGTCTTTTTCTGTCTAGGAGCTGGGCCCCCGCTAGCTGGCTTTGAGCACCTCTGCCCTCGTGACAGGGGCTCTTCACACCTGCCTTCTCTCCTCACTGAGCAGCTGAGGGAGGACAGCCCCTTCCCCCACAGGAAGCCTGCCAAGGAGGGGAGAGGTGTGGAGCCAGCTGCTTCTGGGGTGAGTGGAGAGGAAGAGGGGGAGGAAGGAAAATTCGCTGGTGTGGAAGGTGTGGGAGTGGATGTGTTGGAGGGGAGGGGAGCGTGAGGGGTGCGTTGATGCAGCGTGGGAGGGCCCGGGGAACAAAGAAAAGTGCAATGCCTATGAAAGTCTCGGTGCCTGTACTTGTCTGACTGGGCCTCTCTGCAGCCTCTCTCAGCCAGTGACAAAGGCTTCCTCATGCAAAACCCCACAGGTGCAGGGCCTAAAAAAAAACTGCCCTCCTCCCTTCCTCCCAGCTGGCTAGCTTTGCATCCACCCGTAGATGGCTTTAGAGGGACCCCAGCTCCTCCCAGGTGCAGGGGCCACTTCCTGTCTGGCCCTAGAGGCTTTCCTCACTGTTTTTGGTCAGTAAGCTTCTCAATCATTTCTTTCCTGCCTCTAGTTTGCTTTTAGAGGCTCTGGTGTGGCCTGTGCCCTCAAAGCATCCTCTGAATGGTACAGGCCAAGGGCAAATTGCTTCTGAGCAGCTGCTTCTGTCTCCAATAGCACAATGCTAGGCACATAGTAAGGGTTTTATCAGTGCTTTATTGATCAATCTCTGTTTCCAAATATTGGGAAGGATCTGTGTGCAGGAGTTCTTAACCTTTTATGTGTCATGGACCCTTTGGCAGTCTGGTGAAGACTATAGACCCCTTCTCAGGATCGTGCTTTTAAATGCATAAAAGGTACAGGATTATAGGGGAAATCAGTTATATAGAAATAGCATCAGAAAGATACAGAGATTAGTATGGCCCTGAGCAAGGATGACATGCAAATTTGTGAAGTGTTTCATATATACACATATAGGGGTGTGTGTGTGGTGTGTGTCTGTGTGTGTGTGTGTGTGGTATGTATGGTCACTTCAATCTAACAAATCCAGGGATGGCTCTATTAACAGCCCAATGACACCTACAAACATGGTGTATGCCCGGAGTGCCTTTGAGTGAGTCATATTACACTCTGCTTGTACTGCACATGTATAACCTTTATCAAATTGCTTGCCTTTTCAGTGAGGAGAGGGAGAGTGGGAGAGAATCTGGAATGCAAAACTGTAAAACAAAAACAAAAGACCCCAACAACAATAGAATAAAGGTTAAAAATTGTTTTTACATGTCATTAGACTCTGCCCCTTATGAAACTCGGGATGTGAGCTTCCCAAAGGGGAAAGGGGGACCAGGAGAGCAGGGAGGAACAAGGGGCCTGTGCCTATACAGGATGTGGTACATGCTAATCGTAGGCAGCAGCTCTCGTTTATCAGGGACTGTCACTGAAGAACCCAGCTGTATCCATAGTGATCTCCTGATGGGGTGGGGCAGGAGAGCTGTGTGGGCTTCCAGCTGGGGTAGCTTGGGCAAGGGGAGTCAAGACAGTGACACATCGCCCGCTCCCTGGCTGTGACCATGTCCCAAGTGTTCTGGATGCCTCAAAGGGATATAAAACACACAAGTTATTATAGCTATTACAATTACCAAAGATTTGGGTTAGAGATAGGATGATGGCAGAGGTAAAACGAACCACAGAAGTCCTCTAATCCAAACCCCTCATTCTACAGATAAAGAAACTGAGACCAAAGAATGAAGTAACTTGCCTAAGGTCACACAGATAGTAAGCAGCAGGGGGTGGAATTTAAACTCAGGTGCTCCAATTCCAGGACCAGTGCTGGTTTCCAATGTATACCCCCTTCTTGTAGGAAGCATGAGAGTAGATGATTTGTGTTCAAAAAATGAAGGGAGCCCTTTTAAGGAGCATAACCTAATATTAGGTAACACTTATAATGTGCTTACTATGCTAGGAGCTTTACAATTATTATTTCACAACAATCCTGGGAGGTAGGTGTTATTATGATCCCCATTCTATGGATGAGGAAACTGAGGTTAAGTGATTTGCTCAGGGTCATATAGCTAGAAGTCTTCCTGACTCCAGGTCTACAGCTCTATCCACTGTACTACCTAGCTGCCCTAGATGATAAGGTGATAAGAGAGGGGGTCGCTTCTGGAATGGGCAGCACAAAAAAGTCTGGGGAACCTTATTACCTATAATACTCTAATATCCTTCTTCCTACTAGCATACTCTCCCCAGAATAAAATTGTCAATAGCATTTGCTGAACTTTTGCAGGCCTAACACCACCCAAGTGATGGAGGCAGGGAGAAGAGGATGAGAGAGAGAAAAATAAAGAAAAAGAAGACGAAATTTCCAGATTAACTGTCACTTGGAGGAAATAGAACATTCATGAGGAAAAATCACCTAAGAGTCCACTTTGGGATACACAGAAGCACATGCCAAAGCCTTAGTAGCGTTCTAAGCTGGGGGGGTTTAAAACAGTACTAAGACTTTTGGGACACTCTGTATATTGTGTGTAGCTCACATTTATTTACATAGAATCACAGATTTAGAACTGGAAAGGACCTTATCATCTATTCCTATCCTCTCATTCTACAAATGAGAAAACTGAGGCCCAGAGATGTTATGACTTGCCTAGAGTCACATGGCCCATCCAAGATTAGAGCCCAGGTAGTGCTTTTCCTTCCCAAGTTCTGAGTTCATATCCTGCTACTCCCACTTAATGTCTTGTGTGACTTTGGAGAAGTCACTTCGCCCTCTTTAAAGCTTTAGTTTCCTTCTCTGTAAAATGAGGGGTTGGACTAAATCAATGACATCAAACTCAAGTAGAAATGGACCACTCATGGCCACTAAACAGTACCTAAGGATCCCTGAAGGCCACATGTTGACTTAAAAAAACCACAAACCAACATTATCTATGTTTCATTGTACTTTTACTTATGTTTAAAAATATTTCCCAATCCTATTTTAGGCTGGTTCAGGTAGCACTCAGCAGTGTGGCCCTAGTGGGTAGAGGGCACTGAGAGATTAAATGATCTACCCAGGGTGTCATAGTATCTAGCAGAGGTGGAAACTGAATCCAGATTTTTTAATATTGGCCCAGGAAGATGAGGATGAGTAAATTCAATTCAATAGAACGCTTAAGTCAACCAAGCAAGAGGGCATAGAGGGTTTTTCCACTCAATTTTATTTCCCTATAAGCTTATAATACAGAAGGAAAGGATTGTACAATGAAGCTGCAGGTCTCCATTACATACAGATTGCTCTCCATTTTACATATAGAATGTATTTAATACATAACTTTCAAAGCCATCTTGTTTGTTCGTGATTCTTAATCACTTTCCTTTCATTCTCTCTTTCATAGGGTTGAAGTAGGGAGGAAATTCTATCCTTATTCACACTTTTTTTCCTCACTTCCCCTCTTAACTTAGAAAAAAAAAACCCAAAGCAAAACCCTCATAACAAATATGCATTGGAAAGTGAAACAAATTACTACCTTGGTCATTTTCAAAAGATATCCATCTCATTCTGCATCTTGAATACATTACATCTTGTGAAGAGGTAGGTGACATACTTCTTTATTGGTCATCTGGAATTCTGGAGGGTCATTGCATTAATCTGATTTCTTAAGTCTTTCAAAGTTATTTTTTTTTACAATATTGTTGTTATTGTATGAATTTTCTCCAGGTTCTGTTCATTTCACTCTGCATTAGTTCATACAATTAGTTCATTACTCTACATTAGTTCATACTTCTCAGGTTTCTCTGAAACTGTCTTGTAAAAACAATTTTAAATACATTTTTTGTAGATATCTTTTATTTTACATCACCAAAATTTCCTCCAGTATCCTTCCTCCCTCATCCCTTGAAGCAAATGATATTTTAGACAAAAAAAAAGAAAAAGAGAAAAAGACAGCAAAACTGTTCAATACATTGATAAAGTCTGAAAATATATGTAATGTGCCATAGTCACAGACCTTCCACTTCTGCAAGGGGTGGGAGTGCTTTAGAGCATTTTTTCATGTGACTATTGATAGCTTTGATTTTTTCTTCTGAAAATTGCTTGTTCATATCCTTTGACCCTTTGTTGACTGGGGAATGGTTCTTATTTTTATAAATTTGGCTCAGTTCCTTATATATTTGAGAAATGAGGCCTTTACAGACATTGAAGATGCCAAGGTCATCCACTGCATCCTGGGCCATTGCCAGTGGTCCTGACTTTTGTTTTGCCACTGAACATCCATGACTCTGGAATAGAGAGTGAGGCAGACAACTTAGCAACTCTGCTTCACTTAAATCCGATTCATGTGTAATTCAAAACATCACCCTGTGATGTCACTGATTCCCTTAAAAAAAACAAACCAAAAACAAAGGACAAACAACAGGAGTGTCTTTGTAATTTTGCCATATCTACTTTTTTGTGGTTTTCTTTCCATTTACATTGTCGTCATTGCATACGTTTTTCTTTTCTCTGCTTACTTCACTTTGCATCAGTTCATAGAGATCTTTCCATTCTTTTCCATATTCATCATATTTGTCATTTCTTATAACACAGCAATATTTCACTAATTTATATGCCATAATTTGTTTAACCATTCCCCAATTGATGGATGTTCTCTTAGTTTCCAGTTCTTTGCCAATGCAAACAAGAGCTACAATAAATACATTTTATTCATGTGGGCCCTTTTCTTCTTTTTAAAGAACCTCTGGAATAGAGTTATTGACCATCAATGTAGACGGGATCTCTTATTTACCAAGTCCAATAGCCTTTACTCAGTCTTCATCCTTCTAGGCCTTTCTTTAGCATTTGACAATGTTAAGCACCCTTTCCTCCAGGATACTTTCTCCTCTGTGGGTTTTCATGACATACTCCCTCTTGTTTCTTCTACTTTTATGATGTCACAGTCTCTTTTGCTAGATAATTACACACATCAGCCCAAACTTTTAGTATATGCCAAGTGTGGGAAAGCATCAGAAGTTAGACTTCCACAGCAGAACATGGAAATTCTGAGGGGGACTCCCAAGAATTTGTGGATAGTCCCTCAACCAATCAGAAAGTGCCCCAAACATTCTGCAAAACCATTACTTCCTTAAGACAGAGCCCTAGAGGCTAAATTGGTTGCAACAGGTCGGGGTCAAGGCTTTGCTCCACTGCACTTGCTTAATAAGCTTATTGAATATTAACTGACACACCCCAAAGGCGGAGGTAGCCACCATTTTTGAACATGGAATGCATGAACCAAAAGGGATTAACATGACAAGGAGTAACATGGGATGGGCGGTCCAGGAAGAGTGTAACCCAAATGAGCTGGTCCAATCCCAGCTCAAATAGAAGGAGTATGAATTTTACTAACCATTTAAAAGTTGGCTCTGCTTCCGTATTGGCACACACATGCTATACTAGGGTACAATGTGCCCACTTATCATGTAATAAAGGCTTTCCTTCACACACTCCTGTAGTAGATTCTTCTTTCAGATTTTCTGACAAGTCTTTTTCCTTTTTTTTCTTTTTCCCTTTTCTCTTTTCTTACTTGGTGACCTCACATTAGTTCCCATGGGTTTAATTATCATATGTCCAACTCTTTCATGTCTCAGAAGTTCAAGTCACAAATTTTCATCTACCTACTGGACATTTCAAACTGAATTTCCTGTAGACATCTCTAACTCAACTTGCCTAAAACAGAAGTATTATTCCTATTTTACAGATGAGGAAAACAGGCTAAAAAGAGGTTAGATAACTTGACCAATTAACCAATTAGTAAGTTACGGAGCTAAGAGTCAAACTCTGGTCCTCTGACTCCTTAATGAAAATTTAAATTCTATAAACTCAGTATTGTTGTTTGTACAGTCATTTCAGTCATGTCTGACTATTTGTGACACCATTTGGGGTTTTCTTAATAAAGGTACTGGAGTGGTTTGCCATTTCCTTCTCCAGCTCATTTTACAGATGATGAAACT